AACAAAGACCAGAGGTAATGGGCAAGCAGATCTTGGTGTGGCACAGGATATGGAGAATAAGTTATGACTGAGCTTAAACTTATGAAGGGCAAAGATGGGGAAGCTACATAGGGGAACACTAAGCTGGAGTCCAGAGGACGTAAAAGTTTTGAACAAGGATTTTAACAACAGATGAGCTGAGGCAAGTAATGTAGATAAAGGTTTCAGTTAGTGATTGAGTATATGGAGGTTGAGTTCAGGTTTGAATAGAATGCCAAGTTTGAAAATATAAATCGGTAGAATTCTACACAGTGTTGGAGAAGGGGCTGAATTTCATGACGAAGATACAGGATTTCTGGCAGGAGAGAAAGATTATGATTTCAGTCATTCCAAAATTTAGCCAGAGAAAACTGCAGCTCACACAAGAGGCATCAGGAAACATGACCACAAAGTCAGTGGGTTAGTGAAGAGAGGCAGAGGTAGGTTTGCCAGCATTTGTAAAAGCTGAACTCGGGTCTTCAGACAACTTTGCCATACGATAACATGTAAGTGAGAGAAACGGGGCTAAGGACCAATCTTTGGGGAATACCACTGAACAATGAAGAGGTATGAATAGAAATTTTTGCCCATAATAATCCAGTTACAAATGGATAAACAAGAGTGGAAGGAAGCAGTGTAACATTAAATGAGGACAGGGTCATCCTAAGTCTCAAGGCGCCTTTCTGTCATTCCAACACTGAAGTAACACTTAGTATTTGGCACTTGGGAATTCACTCATCTTTTACAAATGACATAATTATGCTGCTTACGTTTATCTTATCAAAAGAATAACTGATCAGAAGATAAGTCTTATTTCTTTTCAATATTAAATATGCCACCACTCAGAATATGGAGATAATAAAACTAACTGCATCAGCACACTCTCAGTTTTACAACTGAAAAAGTTATATTCTGTACATATTTATTATGGGTCACTTGATTTACAATAACCATTGATTTATATAATGAAAAATAAATCTGTAAATTTTTTACTGGATATGCATCCATGTGTAAGGTTTTATCCTCACTAAATACCTACGCAGAAAAATTTCCAACAAATCAGAAATAAGAATTGCTCGAGTATTTCCCCTTTGCTCCCAAGCCAAAGGCATGCAGAGTCTGCTGCAACGACTTCCCTAACCTGGAACAGTTTACTCAGCACACATCACGAAACACAATCCTAAAAACTTACACATATGGATATATTCACTGGCCAACAGAAAAACACTTAGATTTTAACATAAAATCTAACTTTAACAGTAGTGCTTGATCCATATATAAAATAATGAAAGCAGCTTCTCAGGCAGGGTATTACAAAAGAAATCCAAAGCATTAATTTAGTCTAATTTGATTTAGAGCTTCTTGAATTACAGAATGCAACTATTTTCTCAAATCAATGTCACTTTCTTCCTTCAGTTCGAGGAGTGGATTAAATCAGACAGCAAACATCCTAAAAATACTGAACCAAAACATCACATCTTAGCAATCATGTCTCGGTTGAGTACAAAAGGTGAAGTAAAAGTTTTACAATCAGCACTTTAATACAAATTGAACATAAGTACACACAATATGGCATACTTTTACAAAATACTTTGCATAAAATTTAATGTGGCTGTGCATCAGCCCACCAATTCACATGTATTTGCATACACACTCAAGAAGAACTGTGTAGAGCCATAACACAAAGACAGAAATTACTGGAGAAATTTGTGTGGAAACTGGAGAAATCACTTGGTCCAGCAGTATCTAGTAAGAAAACAGAGTTAACACTGGACTCTAAACGTTAATTTCGATTTCTCCCAAGATGCTGCCAGACCTGCTGAGCTTCTCCAGTAAGTTCTGTTTTTGTGCGTTTCAGATCTCAAACTGTTGCAGTTCTTTTGTTTTATTTTACATAGAGACATTCTCCACTACATAGGTAAATTGGAGTAAAGTTCACTTCAGTAACTCAGCTACATGGCCTATACCAAGTCGTACAGGGACAGCACCGTCAAACCAAGCCAAGTCAACCAATTTTGGGTTGGGGAATGGTGGTGACGGCGACAGTTAATTCAAAGGTGCACTTTTATTGTGCAACATCGGATCATTGAAAGATCACAAATATTTAAATCTGAATTTAAAAAATTTATTAAAATGAGAAATTTATGAAATTATTGTTATCCATAGTAGTTATGCCACTCATTCAATTGTTTGCTTACATAATGCTGGGTACACAGCACACAAATTCAACTTCACCAATCTGCACATACCTTGTATAATTTATGGAAGCAGACACTAATGCTAACTTGTACTTTAATCGCAAAGTAGTCTGGTGATTTATAGTCCTTAAATAATCTTTCTACATATTGATCAGTTTAGTATGGCATTTGGACTTCAAACTTATGTACATAATTGAGGGTTTAAAAAAAAGAAAGGCATACACGCCCACAGAATTAGGTGCAATATTACATTTAACCAATTTCAGCACAACTATTAATCACAACGTTGACAGTTCTCAATAAATCTAGTTCAGATCATTTCCAGGTCACAAACTTGACATTCAACTCAACACTCCCATTCTTGATACGAAATTGCAACCATGTAATTGAAAGATCCATGCCAGAGCGAGAGAGCCTGGACAAGCCAAGAAACAAAATCCAACTTTTGTAATTAAAGACCAGTGCTACAAATAACACCAACTAGATTGTTGTCTGACCTGTGGTGCTAAGGAGCTAGATTCATAAGGCAAGTTTCCAACATGTTCAATTGTCCCAGATAGTCCTGCAATAAATGTAAAAATCTATTTGGTCTAAAAATGAATCTGATGTTGCAAAGAAATTTAAATCTACCACATATTTCACTAACATGCATTCTCCTGTGCCAACTCAATGTAAAATGATTAAGGGAAATGTAATTTCTGACAAATTACAGATTGACATATATACAAATTGCATTAGTTAGGTGAAGAGTAGAGAAAATGGGCAGTATCTACTACTACAGCTAGTATGCCTTAACAGTGAATACCCCTCAGAATGCTGGTCGTGAGGTTTAACCTGAAAGCAGCTAGTCTGTTCTAGAGGGTATGCCTCATCAACTGATCATAAAAAAAAACTGACAAGCGAGTGAGAACTAGCAACCTACATTTTCTTGCTGGGATTTCTATATTTAAACCAGATATGCACAAATTTAGGCTAGCTGACTAAAAACAAAGTAGCTGAAAGTAAAGAGATTTTTTTTCAAATTGTATACAATCTAAAAATTGATTCAAGAAAAGTGCCAGCAGCAAAAAATTAATTTGATGAAGCAAACGGTTTTACGCATGATCAACAAAATACCATTTTGGCCAATTACCCAAATACTGAATCAATAAGTGAACACATTTATTGAAGCCTTGTCATAGAAAAATACATCACAAGCACAAAAAAAATTCAATATAAATGAGCCAAGCCCAGCTGCGATATTGTATACACCCTAAAGTTGGTGATAGTTTTCTTTGTGGATTGACAGCACATCAAGACTATAGCGCAAGAACTCTTCTGGAAGCCTTCTAACTAAAAAAAAAATTCCAAACTATTTTCTTCCTTTTGAAGCGACTTAGGATCTGCACAAAAGAAACCGGGGTAAACTTCTGACAGTTCAATGCAAGTAAATACACAAAAAAAAATCCGGATTGACGTGAGAGTTAACGCACTTGCATCAGAGAATAAGGAAAAAAAACTGAAGGAATTTTTAGGCTCAAGAGACAATCGAAAGATCAATGCAAACTGCCCCTCGAGTTTATGAAAGCCTTTTCTAATGTTCAAAAAGGGACAAATTAGCGGGGGACTACCAAATGCGCCGGATAGCAGACGCATTAAAATATAGTTGCCTTCATCCAAAAAAAATGATCTGATTTTAATGCCGTTCAGCTCTTACAAGCAGCAGCCATAACCCGTCCATTTTGAGTATTCGTATCATGCTTCCACACAACACAAATAAGGATTTAAAAAGTGCGAGCACCTTTTCGAAATTCAAAACACACGATTTTATATTGCATGTACAAACCAATTTTAAAAAACGCACCATATGACCGGTTTTTAAAAAATGGTTATTCGTCTGCAGCTCCGTCTCAGCAGAACGATCACGACCATTTTCGCATTTTTAGTTTTTTTTGGAGGGGACTGTGGGCTAAAAAAGCAATTCCAACAAATGAACGACTGGATACATCAACATTCATTCATCGACACTGAACTGGTGGACGCTTTTAGTTCAATTAGATGCAACCATGCGTCTGTAAGTAAGCTAACAACGTCCATTTTAAAATAAAACAAAAAATAGGAACAACTATCCCTTCCAATTGGACCTGCCACAGATTGGAGAAAAGGCACGGAATGGAGAAAGAAATTACTGCTGCCTGAACTGAGTAGCAGTGTTGGGGAAAGAACATTTTAAAAACTTAAAAAGTTGAAATGCCTTTAAAACTAACAATTTTTCTATTAAAACATAAAAATTGGACTCCAACAAGAAAATTGAAAATTTCAATTTATTTCCTAAATCGCGGTTATTTCCGCGCCTCATTGCATTCCTGAGGTGAGAGAGAGTAAAAGCTCTTCATCTTATCTGGGAATAAGTCAATGAGCAAGGGGAGCCAACCAGCAAAAGTCAGTCAACGCCAAACCTCCATTTTTATGATTACTATTTTTCCCTTCCACACAGAAACAATCCACCATCTCCCCCAAACAAATAAATCTCCGCAGCCCTTCCCTTCCCCACAACCGCCACCAATAGTTCATTAGTTAAGTTGGAGGGGAGGGAATCAGCCCTGCCGCAATCAAGCCGCAGATTTCACTCACAAAAAAAACGTCCATCTTAAGAGAAAACCTCTTTTTATTTCTGCCTCTACTCCATGCCCCCTCCCTAAACCCCATAACGGACACACTCTTTTCAGTTTAAAACTAAAACATAAAGATGTGCTGGAACTGGTGTGTGTACATGTATATAGGGGGATAAAAGGTGCTGCTTACCAGTAAGTACCGGACCGAGCACCTCCCTCCCTGCCTGCCTGTTGTGTATATTGCTCTCCCTCTCCGTTCCGCTCAAGCTCCTTCACAAACCGAACCCAACTGGCTGAGGGGGGGGCGGAGGCAACGGCATGACGCCATGTCCGACTCGCGCCCAGCCTCCTGCCTTCACGTCATAACGTAGTCCGTATTACGCTGGCGCCCCGCCCTCTCAGCTCCAACTGTCAGTCACTTAAATCAGACTGACCGTTACACTCTGCGGGGGCCGTGAGAGTTTCACCTTTTGGAGTTGTGTTCGGTAAGGATGAGGCTACTAGCTGTCTGGGCTTCTCACTAAACGTCCCGGCAACTTCCTCAAAATCGTCTTTGTGTTCTGAGTGCCTCTCCGCGGTTTTAAACCTTTCGGGTAATCTTTGTAGGTATTCAGGTAGAGACAGAACTCACGATTTTGTGACAGAAGTAAGCCATTCGGCTCACCAAGTTCTGCTGCACCATTCAGTAAGATCGGGGCTGGTGCGGATTCCACATTCTCACCTTCCCCCGATAAGTTTTGATTCCCGTGCGTAAGATTTTATTCACTTTTGGGGCAGGGGCATCACTGGCTGCGCCTACATTTATTGCCTGTCCCTAGTTGCCTTTGAGTGGGTGGCGGTGAGCGGCCCTCTTGAACGGCTGCAGTTGGTTGACTCAATGCTGTAAGGGAGGGAATTACAGGATTTCGACCCAATGATAAGTGAACGAATAGCAATATGTTTCAGTGGTTTGGAGGGGGACTTGCCATGGTGGTGTTCCCGTATATCTGCTATTCTTGTCTTTTTCTAGTTGGAAGTAGTTGCCATTTTGGAACTCGCTGTCCAAGGATCTTTGGCAAATTTCCCGTATACTATATACTGTATGAAGTATGCTACTAAGTGCCAGTGGTGTAGGGAGTCGATGAGTTGCCAGTCAAACAGGCTACTTTATCCTGAATGGTGTGAAAGGTGTTGTTGGAGCTACAATCATCCAGGCGAATAGGGAATATTCCACTGTACTCTAGACTTATGCTTTGTAGATGGTGGACAGGCTTTGAGGAATCAGGCCATGAGTTGCTCACTGCAGTAGTTCTACCTTATGGCTTGCTGTTGCAGCCACTTATTTATATGACAAGTCCAGTTAAGTTTCTGTTCAATGGTGTTTATAGAGGGGGAGTCAGAGAGGGTAATGCCATTGAATGTCAAGAGGTTGTGGTTAGATTGTCTCTTATTGGAAATGGTATTGCCTGGCATTTGTGTGGCGCAAATGTTATCTACCTACTTCTGCCTCTGTTAACTTTTAAAACAGAGCAGTGCAAACCTTATTGAGAGAAATGAGATAGTAAGAACTGCTGATGCTGGAGAATCTGAGATAACAAGGTGTAGAGCTGGATGAACACAGCAGGCCAGGCAGCATCAGAGGAGTCCCCATGCAGATGGCCTAAAGGCCCTCCACTTCTTCATCTCCCGCAGGCCTGACCAGTCCCCCTGCACTGACACCCTTATCTGCTTAGCTGAACTCGTCCTCACCCTTAACAACTTCTCCTTCAACTCCTCCCACTTCCTACAGACAAAGGGAGTGGCCATGGGTACCCGCATGGACCCAAGTTGTGCCTTCCTCTTTGTAGGACATGTGGAACAGTCCCTCTTCCGCAGCTACACTGGTCCCATCCCCCACCTGTTCCTCCGTTATATCGATGACTGTATCGGCGCCACCTCGTGCTCCCACGAGGAGCTCGAACAGTTCATCCACTTTACTAACACCTTCCACCCCAACCTTAAGTTCACCTGGACCATCTCCAATACCTCTCTCTCCTTCCTGGACCTCTCTGTTTCCATCTCTGGCAATCAACTGGAAACCGATATCTATTTCAAGCCTACCGACTCCCACAACTACCTGGAATACACCTTTCACCCACCTTCCTGCAAGAATGCTATCCCCATTCCCAATTCCTTCGCCTCTGCCGTATCTGCTCCCGAGATGAGGCATTCCACTTCCGGACATCCCAGATGTCCTCATTTTTCAAGGACCGCAATTTCCCCTCTACAGTGATCGAAAACGCCCTCATCCGCATCTCTCGCATTTCCCGCAACTCATCCCTCACACCCCCTCCCCGCAATAACAACAAAGATGGAATCCCCCTCGTCCTCACGTACCACCCCACCAACCTCCGGATTCAACACATCATCCTCCACCACCTGAAATCGGACCCACTACCAAGGACATTTTTCCCTCCCCACCCTTATCTGCCTTCTGGAGGGACTGCTCTCTCTGTGACTCCCTTGTCCGCTCCCCATTAGCCCCACCACCCCGGCACTTTTCCCTGCAACCGCAGGAAGTGCTACACCTCCCCCCTCACCCCCATCCCAGGCCCCAAGAAAACCTTGCACATTAAACAGATGTTCACCTGCGCATCTGCTAATGTGGTATATTGTATCTGCTATTCCTGATGTGGCCTCCTCTACGTTGGGGAAACCAAGCGGAGGCTTGGAGACCACCTTGTGGAACACCTATGCTCGGTACGTGACAAACGACTGCACCTCCCAGTTGCAAAGCACTTCAACTCCCCCTCCCACTTCTTGGACGACATATCCATCCTGGGCCTCCTCCAATGCCATGATGATGCCACCCAAAGGCTGCAGGAACAGCACCTCACATTTTGCTTGGGAACCCTGCAGCCCAATGGTCTCAATGTGGACTTCACAAGCTTCAAAATCTCCCCACCCCCGACCTCATCCCAAAACCAGCCCAGCTCGTCCCTGCCTCTTTGACCTGTCCATCTTTTCTCCCACCTTTCCACTCCTCCCACCTCATTGACCAACCCCCACCCCCACCTCCTACCTACTAGCCTCATCCCCGCCTCCTTGACCTGTCCATCTTCCCTCAACTGACCAACTCCCATCCTAACTCCCCACCTATACTCACCTTTACTGGCTCCATCCCCGCCTCCTTGACCTGCCCGTCTTCTCTCCACCTATCTGCTCCTTTATCCACCTTCCATCATCGCCTCCCCCCCACCTCTATTTATTTCAGAGTCCCCTTCCCCTCCCCCATTTCCAAAGAAGGGTCCAGACCTGAAACATCAGTTTTCCTGTTCTTTCTTTCCTCTGATGCTGCTTGGCCTGCTGTGTTCATCCAGCTCTATACCTTGTTATCTGAGAGAAATGAGTTCTCACATTTCTTTCCTAAAAGCATGCCTTAGTTCTGGATTTGCCTCAAGAGGAACAATCCTTTCTATGTCCACTGTGTCATGACTTTTTTTAAAATTTAACCTGTTCAGAGATGTTATTAACTACCCTGCAGCAGGTGGGACTTGAATCCAGGTCTCCTGGCTCAGACGTCGGAACGTTACTACGGCACCACAAAGGCCTTGTCAGGATCTTATACACTTCAGTCAAATCTAAACTCCAGTGGAAACAAGCCTAGCCTGACCAAGGTTTCCTCATAAAACAACCTACTAATTCAAAAAATCAATCTAATAAACCCTTTCTGTTGCATTTACATATTTCCTTAAAAAGGAAACCAAAACTGCTCACTGTATTTGAGATGCGATCTCGCTGATACCTGATGCAAAGCTAAGGATGTTATGTTCAGTTATGTTGGATTACTCTTCTATGGATACCACTCCAATAGTGGCTTTTTTGATTACTTGCTGTACCTGCATACTAACTTTTGTCAGTTGTACAGTACAGCACATATTTCTCTCTGTACCTCAGAATTCTGCAGTTCTCCAATTAAGTACCTGTCAATGAACAATGACATTTTCCCACATTAAATTGCATCTGAATGGGCTAAAATCTATCTGTATTGGTCCATGTCCTTATATGTCACTTTTACAACATAATTTCTTATCTATCTTTGTGTCCTATTTAAACTTAGCCACTATGCCTTAGATCTTCTCATCCACATCATTGAGATAAATTATTAAAAGTTGAGGGCCGAGTACAGATCCCTGTGGGACTCCACTCCTCACATACGAATCTGAAAAAGATCCATTTATGCATGCTTTCGTTTCCTACCAGTCTGCCAATCTTCTGTCCATGCTAATATGGCAGTCTATAACCACAAGCTCCTGCATTGTGCAATATCTCATATTGAAATCTGTCAAATATCTTCTCAACATCTAGGTATCGTGCATCAACAGGTTCCCCTTTATCCACAGTGCATGTTATTTCTTCAAAGATTTCCAATAAATTGGTTGAACGTGATTTCTTTTTCACAACTCTTTGACTCTTCCCAGTTATCATAGTTTCTCCAAATGCCTGTTTATAACCTCCTTAATGATCGATTCTGACACCTTCCCCACAATAGATGACATGCTAACTGGCCTTTAATTTCCTGTTAACCGCCTCCCTCCCGTCTTAAAAAGAGGGATTATGTTTGCTATTTTCCAAACTGACAGAATCTTTCCAGAATGTAACAAATTTGAGAAAATTAACAGCAACACATCTACTACTTCATTACTAAGCTCCTTTAAGATCCTGGGATGAAGTCCATCAGGACCCAGAGACTTATTCACAGATCCATGACTTTGCTAAGTACTACTTTCCTAGTGATTGGGAAGGCAGTTGAATGAGAGCAGGACAAACGAAACCTTTTAAAGACTCCCTGAAAGGTTCCCTTAAGAAATGCAACATAGATGTCAACACGGCGGAGACCCTTGTTTTTTAATAAATGTTTTGATTTGGAAGAACATCCTGAATGAAGGGACAGAATTCCTTAAGAACCCCCATTGGCATTAGAAGTATAGAAAAGGAAACGGAGGAAGGAATACCAGTGTCTCAAGGCCAAAGTCCAATTCCACCTCCCTGAAATACCTACCAAATGTGTGGTCAAAGATGTGGCTCTAGGATTGGACTCATCAGCCATGCAATGATCCACAGAGTCCACGATCAAAGATACAGAATTTCCTTGGTAGACAATCATGCTCTTTAGTGAGTGTTTGTCGACAATGCCAATAGATTTAACCAGATTCCCCTCTTCATTCAACCTCCCAATTTGCAAATATCACTAGAATGTTTTATGTATCCTCTGTTACAGATTCAGAAGTGAAATATTTATCCAGCACACCTGTCATTTATATATTATCTACTATTGGCTCTGCATTATCACACTGAGA